TGTGTGTGTGTATAGAACTGGGGTATAGGCCAGAAATGTGGGGGGTGAGACAATTCACCAGAGACAGAGTGGGAAGCAGAACAAGCAGACTTACTGAAGGGTAGCAGTGGGCAAGGAGAGGTCTGCTGTGCCATATGTGGGTTAGCTCCCTGGCCAGAGATTGAACTCAAGCCTTAGAGGTGATAGCACCGCAACAACGAACCCCTAGGCTACAGGGAGACCACAAGATTAGTATTTTAAAATGGAAGTGGACCAGTTTCCCCAACTAAGTAGACAGTGACCAGTTTTCCCAATTAAATACACTTTTTTCCACATTAGCTTACATTATTGTATTGCATCTCTATGTAGGAAAAATTAGCATTCTTATAATGAAGAGAATTTTTACTTACCTAGCTTCATCTTTCCAAGGTTTTTTTCTCCTTTAGCATCAGCATCTAGACAAGTATTTCCCAACCTCAAAGGAAAATGACCTGGGTGAACTTTTCTTTGGAAGATGTGTTACTTACAAATACTTTAAAGCATTTCCTGCAAATCTCTCTTCAAATCTCATTTTATTATATGCAAAATACATTCTTTTGTGTAACTTTTGTTCCTGAATGCTTGGATCTTTTAGACATTCCCCTTAGTGAGAGAATAGAACATTCCATGGTATTTGAGCAATAGTAAATCAAAAACACTAGTATCATTTACTAAGTATCTTCTATATCAACAGGCACTGTGCAAAATTGTATTATTGTATTTAACTTTAACATAATAGGTATAATAGGCATAGTCTATTATTATCATCCCCATTTAAATAATGAAAAAAATGAAACTCAGAACTTATGTAACTAGTAAGTGGCAAGTCAGAATTTGAACCAAGATCTCTTTATTAGCTTTTTTTTAACTACTACACACTGAAGGCTGTGAAGGAAATCTGAATCTTTATCTGATAAACTTCAAGGTCATCATACTCTACCTTTTTCTGTGTGTTCCTGACAAAAATTCCCCCCTGGCTTCTGATTCTTTGACTTCTCTTAGACTCTGGCTTAAAATGAGTCATTTTTCTTTAATAAAACACAGTTTTTCTTTAAAAAAAAAAAAGTCCAACCCTAGAATAGCTCATATTTTTATAGCACAATAATTGTATCTCACTTCTATTCTTAGAATTTTTTCTAATAATGAGTTTTGAATCTCTTCTTGGGAAATGAGACTGGAGTCATCTTCCAATCATTACTGAAATTTGAAGAGGTTCATTTGGATCTTAAAAGAGCTTACTCACCTAGATAATAGCTTTGTAGTCCTCCACACTTAGCATGCCCACATGCTGAAATGAAAAATTACTTGTGATGAGGGATTTGGCTCTATCTGTATGCCTTGTCCCATAGGGGTGCTACCTGCCACATGTGACTTTTAAATTTTAAATTAATTTAAATTTAAATTTAAAATTTAGTTCCTCAATCATCTCAGTCACATTTTAAATGCCAAGTAGCCATATGTGACTACTGTATTAGGGAAATTTATAGAACATTTCCATCACTTCAGGAAGTTCTCTGGCACTGCTCCTCTAGTATGTATACTCTTCATGGCCCCTCTCTTTCTACCCTTTGTTTCCCAAACAACAGTGGCTACCTCTAGAGTGACCACTACAATTTCTGTAATTTGGGAAGACAACTTATCAACCCAGTGAACCCATGATATTTGACATGTAAGATGCTTTGTTGACACAGCTGATATTTCTGTAGCACAAGAACTTGTGTCAACCCAAATTGAGTTCATTTTATTAACATGATACATCCGAGAACAAATTAGTTTTTATTTATATATTGAACCTACGTATTAGGTTAGTGTTATTAGAGCCATTTACAGACTCCATTTTGTTGAGTTGTCTCAAAGACTACCCTGATCCTTGGGGAACTTATTGTAAGTAATGATGTTGCTGTCAAATCTTATAGCAAGCATGTTTAGTTCTGAACAGACTTGGCCATTTAATTGACATAGTTCCAACTTCAAGGATTCAAGGCCATTTTCCAAGTCAAAAAGAGGTTGTCTCTTTCTATTAGTCCATATTGTTTTGAAAGAAAAGAATGATTTTTATATCCAATTCAGTGAATCTTGATTAACCTTGAGTTGTTTATGTATATTCTTTATCCTCACATATGTAGACTCTAAAATAATCTTGATAGGTGTATATGTGGATATGCACATGGGGCCACCTGGGAATGTACCGTACTACATTGGTCTTGAGTACTCCCACCTTACGGGGTAAACTTCTTTGGTCTGTCTTTTCCAAAGTAATATTCCATAGCAAGCTCCCCTAGAGAATTTTGTTGAATATGTTGTTTGTAATGACAGTCTATTGTTTGAGTATACAGAACAGTATTCTGACATCTTTGCTATCTATAAAATAGTGCTGGAAAGTTTTCTTTTTCCAAAGGAGCTAATCAGTATGCAATGCTTACTAGTTTCAGGTTTGAACCCTCCATAACCAGACAGAAACAGGCAACCACTTTTCTTCTCTCAGCTGTACAAATAATCTGATTGAGAGATAGAGCATATCTCTGTTCAGAATGTTCTTGGTCATGGGACACCTCATAACATAGGCCTTACAGTCACTACTATTGTTCCAGTTTCAAGGATTTAAGGCCATTTTCTAAGTAAAAAAAAAAAGTTATGTTTAGAATTAGTAAAGTATTGGTAATTGTACAATTAGGCAATGGCATATAGTGGAAGTAAATCATATTACTGTCAACTTTGTGTAGCTTTGAAAAAATGAAATAAAGAGTAAGTAAATGTAAGTTTTTTTGTTTTGTTTTTGTTTTTTGCTATTGAGTTGTATTGTATGAGTCCTTTTATATTTTGAAAATTAAACTTTTACCAGGTATATGGTTTACAAATGTTTCTTCCCATTCTACAAGTTGCCTCTTTATTCTGTTGATTGAAGCTTTTTTAGTGTAATGTAGTCCTCTTTGTCTTTTTTTTGCTTTTTTTACCTGTGTTTTCAGTGTCATGTCCAAAAAATCAGTGCCAAGACAAAAGGCAAGATGGACTTGAACAGACATTCCTCCAAAGAAGACATACAAATGGCCAATAGCTATATGAAAAGATGTCCAACATCATTATCAATGAAATGTAAATAAAAGCCATAATGAAATATCACCTCACCCTCTTAGGATGGCTAGATTTTTAAATAGAAAAATAAAAAGTTTGTGGAGGATATAGAAGACTTGTACACTATTAGTAGGGATGTAAAAAGGGGAAGGGAATCCCACCCACACAACCCTCCAGCCCACCACAAAGGAACCGGAAGACCTGCTGATGTCACAGATTCATGAATAGATGTAAATTGGGCTGGTTTAGGATTCTAGACAGACTTCGCTGTGGTGTGTGCCATGAAAAAGAAAGGGGGGGGGGCGCCCAGAGTAGGCCTAGCCAATAGTCTAGTCAATAGCAATGATGGAAAACAGTATGCAACTTTCTTGTAGCATAAAAAATAGAATTACCATGTGATCCAACAATCTCACATCTGGGTATTACATATATCCAAAAGAATTGAAATCTGGGTCTCTAGGATATGCACACCCATCCAGCTATTTACAATACTCAAGAAGAAAACAAGCCAAATGTCCAGTAACAGATGAACGGATTTAAAAAATGTGCATATATACACTGTGGAATATTATTCTACCTTTAAAAAGGAAACTCTGCCTTTTGTGACAACATAAATGAACTTAGAATGCATCATGTAAGTAAAGTAAGCTAGTCACAAATAAATATTTTATGAATCTATTTACAGGAGCTATTTAAAATAGTTAAACTGATAGAAGCAGAAAATACACTAGTGGTTGTCAGGGCTGGGATAGAATAAAATGGGGAGTTGTTATTCAGTTAGTATAAAGCTTCAGTCATGCTAGATAAATTTTAGAGCTCTGCTGTATGACATAGTGCCTATTGTTAATAACCTGATATTGTGCACTTCAAAATTTGCTAAGAGAGTTCATCTCATAAATTAAGTTTAAAATAACAATAACAACAACAACAGAAGGAAACTCTGGGAAACATTGGATATGTCTACTACCTTAACTGTGGTGATGGTATCTCAGATGTTGTGTATCTCCATGCCCATCAAATTGTACACATTAAATATGCGCAGTTCTTTGTTTGGCCATGTCAAGAAAGCTGTTAAAATATTTTTAGGATTTCTTTTTAATGTCATGAGTTCTTTGGGTTAATTTAATACAGCTTCTTTTTTGCTCCTATTAATAAAACATATTACTAAAATCAAAATTTGCTCTAAGAATCAGTAAAAGTCCTATTGGATCTGTGTTTTAATTAAATGTCAGAAGTTTAATAAAGCAATAAGGAAGTGTTCTACCTTATCTAAATGTTGCAGTAAATCATTCTTTCACACCTACTTTTGATGCATCACAAAGGTCAGCAAGATGACATTGTTCCACAAAACAGTGCTATTTATAGAATATAGTCTTAAATATGTATGTTTCCTTAGTTGTTAGGTTCTTGTCCCATTATTATTTTCCTATATTTTCCTTCTATTTTGCTTTTTAAATCTTGGTGTGCAGGGCTTATATCTAATGGTGACTAGCTTTAGAACTGTTCCCTGACTTTGATTTGTTTTTATCATATCATATACAACACATAGCTAAAAAGCAAGAAAAGGTTAAAGAAAAGAAAAGAGATTGGATAAATTAAAGATTGTGATTTCTTGTATATGCCTTTTTGGTAGTATAGATTCCACCAAAATTTTATATTCGATTTTGCTTTCCCTCATTCAGTTGCAATAATAATATTTTTACGACTCACAGCTTGAAACACACACACACACACACACACACACAAGAACCCACTCTCCCCCTCCTCCTCCTGCTCCTCAAGCTGCCTGTTTGTCTTAAGGCAGTGGCAGACACCTGATTGGCAGGCTCTGTTTATTCTGTGACCAGATTCCATCTAAAAGAAGGCAGGCCATGATAGCCTGAAGCCTATTGGCTAGGCCTACTCTGGACCCTCCCTTTCTTTTTCATGGCACACACCACAGCGAAGTCTGTGCGGAATCCTAAACCAGCCCAATTTACATCCATTCATGAATCTGTGACGTCAGCAAGCCTTCGGGCTCCTTTGCGGTGGGCTGGAGGATTGTGTGGGTGGAATCCCCCTCCCCTTTATTTTTCTAATTCCGCAAAGCTCTCTAAATTAACCTTCCATCTTTTTAAAGCAAGAAAATGGAACAGCATGTGTAGGAATTCTTCATTGTTGTGAGTATGCCACTCTATTTTTCTGTTTCATCAGCATTAATTTCGTAAGGACAGATGGAGATTGTATTTGTGATTTGAGGTGATCGGAAGCTGATGTTATCGTAGGAGAACCGGCGGGAGCGAGACAGACAGACAGATCGAGACAGAAGCAACGAGAAATCTGAAACCCAGTTCCAGCTAGGGAGTCTTTGAAACTGACAGCTGGTTTTCCTTTGCTTGTCTGCCTGCTAAACGTGGACATTTTTTCATTTAAGGTTCTGCACGTTACCTCTGGGTGCTGGCTTGGCTTTCCTGAAAGAGAGATTCATTTCTCTGAGAGACGATGTGGGTCGTGTTAGGGGAAACGCGAGGACACCGGAAAGGTGCTGGGGAGAAGCCGGCCAGGGAGAATGAGCAGGTTCTGTCCTGCTGAGCTGAACGCTTGTCTTCCTTCTGTCGACCTTTCTGTCGTTTCTCACCCTTCACCTTGCCTTTGTCTCTTGATTGTGTAACAGTCCGTGGCTTGGGGACAGCGATTTGAGGGAGATGAATACTTGTCCAACCATTTTTCTCAAAACCTTTTATTGTGGGAGCACTGGTGGTATTTTTATACATATTTGTAGCTCTTTACGTCACTCTGTACGTTTTGTTTATATTTTCAAAACCCTAAAAGCCTCACCACAGGCAAAAGGGGGAGTTAGCCATAAATTCTAATTTTTAAAATATATCTAGTGAAAACTGTAAGTGCTTTTTAAAAATATATTCCCAATTTCTATAGCTTAGAAATGCACATGAGTATTTTTCTAAGATGAACTTCCAGCTGAAGGTAGTTTATTCCACTGTGTTTGGGTTTGGAACCATGGAAGAGTGCTGGTATGTTCCAGGTGTTAAGCTGGTTCAATAGTTTGCTTGGAGTTTCAACAAAAAAGTTAGTATTTGTGATTGATTTTGATTTTCAAGTCTCCGTTTTCTTCTGGTGAAAGTTGTGACAGTAAAGAGGAGGGATGTGACATTGGGACATGTCCTGCCTCTGGGCAGCTCTTCAATCCAAATAATCTAACAGCATTTGCAACTGCCTCCTTGCAGCAAGTTTCTCTTCTTATTTGCTGCGGGTACCTGGTTGTTCTTTCCAGTGAGAGAGAAAGCAACGTGTTTGTTGTTTTTATCATCCAACCTTGTCATGTTTGCCTCGCATGATCAATATTCAGTTTTGAGATGGTCTAATCTTTTCACATGAAACAAGACTTTCCATTTACTGTGCTAATAATTTTGAATTATTTTTATCACTGTAAACTAATGAATGCAAGCTATACACTTATTTCATTTCAAAATGATCCTACTTAAGAATCTAGAAATTTCTTTTGTTTGTCATCTTAGCATGACCCTCATTTATTTTGTTTTTCTGAGTGTATTTGAGTTCACTGGAGTTTTAGAAAGGAAGAAACTTCTGTCTGATTCTAAACCAAAACATCATCCTATATAGTTATACAACCATGGTTTCATAGTTTTTAAAACTAGTTATACAACTATAGTTTCATATGATTTTGCTATTTTTTCATTTTCGGGTTGAACAAATGATACATATGTGCACATTTTGACTTGTTCTTTTTTGTATATCTTTAGACTTTGTTCAGAGTAACAATTACAAAGTTATTTTAAATTATTGAAACTATTAGTTCACTGCTAGTGAACTAAATTCAGAAGACTAAATTCTTAAGGTATTTGCAATGTGTTTATATAATCAAACTCATTTTGAGAAATATTCATCACATTCTGTCTGTTTTGTGCATTTTGCCAAGAGAACATTAATTTTCATTAAAAAAAAAGAGAGAGAGTCTACATTTTACATGTGTACAGATCAAACTCTATCCCTTCAAGGTACAGACTCTGTATAGAATCTTGCTCTCTCCACTCCTATAGCTGTATTGTAGACAATATTTATTTTTATGTACAGTGTACTTGTGGTGAAAAAAAACAATAACTCTTAATTGTTTAATATCAAACAATAAAATCCTGTGTATCAGTGACTATCAATAGATGGCTTTCTGTTTAAAACTTGAAGCTACTCCAGAAATAGGAATTAATTTATTTAGTAAATAAAGTCAGTCAAACAGAGCCATGTTTGGAGAACTCTCAAAAGCATGGTTCCTAAGGGCCAGAGGCCACATCCACTGGTATATAAAGGAACAACTTACTTTGGATGGCAGAACCGGTCAGTTTGGTCTGCTCTGTCTCCCTTCCCTCTCTCTATGTGCTACAGTTGAATTTATTGTTTGAGAGTTCTATGAATCAAGATAGCCCAGATGACCAGTTTGCCAGGTGGCAGTCTGACTCTTACAATTTTGATTGAAATAAAAAAACATTCTGCAGGGGTCTCCCTTGCGGCAAGGGGGTTAAAGCACTATGAAGCTATCTGCAACCACTGCAGCATAAGTTCGATCCCTGGCCAGGGAGGTGACCCACATGGCTCAGCAGACCTCTCCTGACCTGCCCCTCAGCAGTGTATTTCAGTTGATCTGCCTGTTCTGCTCCCCACTCTGTCTCTGGTGAATCTTCTCACCTTCCTGCACCTCTGGCCTATCCCCCAGTTCTTGCATGTATACATAAATAAATCTCTTTTAAAATTCTCCAAAAATACTGTTTTACTTTTTTGAAAGTTATTTAAAAGGGAATGCATTCTTAGTGTACATGGGTGGTGAGAGAGACAGAGATTTAGAAGCTGTGATCTTTCCCCCTAAGGAAGTAAAAAATGTTACTCTATATACATAGTGATATGATTCAGGAACAAACTGGTATATGTAAATAAACTTCCAGATTAATAACCCAGGGAACTAGCCCCCACCCCCTTTTCAGCACTTTTTCCTGTGTTCATAGAGTTGTTTTACCATCACTATAATCAATTTAGAATATATTCATCATCATCAGTAGAAACCCCGTGCCCATTAACCCCCCATTCAGGCAAGCGTAAATATACTTTCTTTATACAGTTTAACCTATTCTGACCATTTTTGAAAGATTTATTTATTTATGCATTCAATAACTGGGATGCAGGGGGGTGAGAGTATTCACCAGAGACAGAACAAGGAGCAAAACAGACAGATCCACTGAAATATACAGCTGAGGGTAGCAGTGGGCAGGACAGGAGAGATCTGCCATGCCATATGGGTCAACCCCCTGGCCAGGAATCAAACTTACTCTGCAGTGGCTTTGGATAACTTCACAGTGCTATGCTTTAACTCATTGCTCCACCGGGGAAGGCCCTATTCTGATCATCTTATACAAATGAAACCATAGAGTATATGGTCTTTGTGACTAGTTTCTTTCAAGTTTTATAAGTTTTTTCAAAGTTCAGCTATGTTGAAGCAGATATCAGTGCTTCATTGCTTTTGATTGCCAAATAATATTCCATAGTACAAATATATCATATTTTACTTATCCATTCAACAGTTAATGGACATTTGGGTTGTTTCCACATTTTGACTATACAAATGATGCTACTATGGCATTTATGTTAGTGTGTAAACACTTTTTTTCCCCTTCAGTATATACCTAGAAGTGGAATTGCTAGGTCTTAGGATGACTCTGTTTAAAATTTTCAGGAAATGTCAAGCTATTTTATGTCATTCAAAGCACTACATTCTTTTATATTCCCAATGTAAAATGAATGAGCATTTCAATTTCTCCAGATCCTCATCAGCACTTGTCTTTCTTAGTAGAGCCATCTTAGTGAGCTTTAAGGTATATTTCATTGTGAGTATACAACTTCTGAATCAGGAGAGAGGTTATGTGAAAATACACATTGATATGGAAAGGTGGAAAGAGAAGAAATTTAAGAAGATTTATACCAGTGAGCATCATTAGAGTTAGTGAAATATGTTAAATTAAAGGAAGAGAAAGAACTATCATTTATTAAATACCTCTACATGGCTATCAGTCTGTAGAGGCACTAACATGCATCATTTCATTTAAAATATAATTTTACTGATAGTGAAAGAGGTGCTATTATTCCCAGATGAGAGATAGGCTCTGGAAGGTTGCTAACTCAGCCAAAGATACCCAGTAGCACCTGTCTTACCCAATGTTCAAACCAGCTCTAAATTCTTAAATCATGTTCTCTTTGAGTCCTGCCATACATTGTAATTGGTCCTGTCCATCTTGAATATGAGATTTTCTCTAACAATGCTATGGACTGGACAGAGTAAGATAAGTTGGATGTTAAGGGTAATATAGGGTCAAATATTGGCACAGCAGATTCAGTGGAAGAGAACAGGTTGCAGTAAAAGAGCATTATCATGGGATAGCTAATCATGGAGTCAGGTTGGCTGTGCTCTGCTCGATGTTAGGATGATATCAGGATATGAGGATGAATCCCTAGAGGATGGAAGCCAACACATTGGGCATGAGAGGATGATGGACTGTGTGGTAAATGATGGACTCTTTTCCATGATGGAAAAGAGATATGTCAAATAGAATTGGCAGGTATGAAAGTGTTGGCATTCCTTTAATCAACATATATTATTGAGCATTTACTGTGTCCTAGGTACTGGGCACATAGCAGTATAAAAAATAACACCAGATATTTCTTGCCCTTGTAGTTGCTTATTTTACTAAGGAAGACTAACAATGAATAAGCAAATTCTGTATAGACAGTTGATAAAGAGAAAATGAAAGTGGGAGGGGAATAGAGAGTGCTGGGGGTGGGCTAGAGTCAAGTCTCAGAGAGATGACAGTCATCAAACCAAGTAATCTGTAGTTAACCAAAGCTGGGCCTTTGGGTATGTAAGAAGAGCTTCTTCTCCATTCTCAAACTCAAAGCGCATATTTAGCATTAACTTTTTTTTTTTAAAGATTTATTTTATTTATTCATACAGAACTGGGGTACAGGCCAGAGATGCAGAGGGTGAGAGGATTCACCAGAGACAGAGCGGGGAGCAGAACAGGCATATGGATGAAGTACACTGCCAAGGGGAGCAACGAGAGGGTCAGGAGAGGTCTGCCGCGCCATGTGGGTCACCTCCATG